GGCGGATTTGCGAACACTATACGAACACCGCCCACCATTGATGGACTTTGCTGTGGCAGGCAAGCTAAAGGAGCCTCACGTCTCGAAGCATCTAGCTTTTGTCATCACACGAGCATTTCGAACGTACCTCTCGAACTATTACGCTAGCAAAGTCCACCTTCACCGCGTTGCCTACAAGAACCTCCCCCTGACGAAGGAGGCGTCTGAGGCATTGGACCAGATCCGAAATCTCGCTAGACAAATTGTGGCGGACTTGGACCCTGAGGATACGCTGCCCGTCAACATGCTATGGCCGCTGCTGATGCTGGGGGTTGAAGAGCAGGATGCCAACGAAAAGGCCTGGATAAAGACTCAGATTCTCAGGATGGAAAAGGTTGCTGGCAACGCGCGCATCACGGCGCAAGTGTTGGAAGAGGTTCAAGCTCGACAAGATGCTGCCAAGGCACGAATGGATATCCGGGCCGTGATGCATGCCGTTTTCAACTCATGCTTTGCTATTGTCTGAGTTTTGAGACAAGACGAGAACGGAACATCGCCAATGAATTACCACCAATGGTCGTTCACCAACCTTTCTGCAACTCCAACTACCATTTAGTTAGCTTCGCATATGCATCCGACACATCGGGACGAACTAGTTCCCATGGCTCATGCCACTAATATCATGCGACTTGGCATGGATGGCTTCTCTTCTCTTGTTCTTCAACAGTTCGAGTTGACGCTCGGCTCAAAGCCCCACTCACACTCGTCGAGCCGATCGGATATGTGTGGCTGTCTCCAACTTCCCCGCATGATGCTAAAGTAAAGCAGAGTGGATGAGGCTGGGGATGGGTCTTGGCACTTGGACGAACCGACAAACCATCATGGTCATGAATTGCATCGATCCCCGCATGGGACGTGGCATGATAGGTACCCATGGATCCGATGGGGGCAAAACGAATATCCCCACAATGTCTGAGTGTGGAACAAAACCCTCTCCATTGATCTTGAGACGATTGATCATCTTCTGTTCTGTTCTTGTTCTTCATTCTACATTCCAACATCTTGACATCTCAACACGCAGCAGTATCCCAAAATCCCATCTCAATTATTCACAATGGGCTCAATCGCGACAACGAGCAAGTCATTCCCTGGCGGGATTCATGTTCCCTCTCTGACTTGGTTTGCCAATGATGCCAACCAAGAGATCGACTGGGACGTACAGAAGAAGCACATCGAGTTCTTGGTAAACTCTGGTCTTGACGGAAGTATGTTCAGACAAATTCTCCACATGAACCAAACTAACAGACTGCAGTCGTTATTGCTGGAACAAACGGAGAGGCCGTCACACTCTCAGCCGCCGAAAAGTCACAGCTCGTTCGAACTACTCGAGAGATTGCGGTCTCCCTCGGCCGCCCCGATATCACAATCACATTGGGCACCTCATCACAAACCACACGAGATGCCATCAACGAGACAAAGCTCGCCAAGGAAGCTGGCGCCGACTTTGTCCTCGTTCTCACTCCCAGCTACTTCCACTTCGCCATGACACAAGACGCCATCGTGGCTTTCTTTGAAGAGCTTGCCGATGCGAGCCCTGTCCCTGTCGTCATCTACAACTTCCCTGGCGTTGTCGCTGGCCTTGACGTCAACTCAGAGATGCTCGAGCGCCTAGGCCAGCACCCCAACATCGTTGGTGTGAAATTGACGTGTGGTGGCATCGCAAAGGTTGCTCGCATAGCAGCTCAGTTCAAGCCCGAAGAGTTCTTTGCTCTCGCGGGACAGAGCGACTGGCTCGTGCCCGCTCTCGCTGTCGGAGGCACAGGCACCATCACTGGTGTCGCGAACTTGTATCCCAAGACCTGCCTGCAGATCTACGACTTGTACAAGGCTGGCAAGACAAAAGAGGCTGAAGCTGCACAGCTTGAGCTGGCGAAGATGGAATGGGGATTTGCCAAGGGTGGTATCAACGGTACCAAGTGGGTTGTTGCTAAGCTCCGAGGCTATCCCCTTGAGAGCTGCCACTGCAGACGACCTTATCCTAAGTATAGCGATGAGAGTAAGCAGCAGTGGATTTACAAGGTCGTTGAACCTCTGTCTGCTGTTGAGAAGGGTCTTGGCAAGAGGGCAGAGAATATCTAAAGGGTATTTAGAGATGATACGATTTAACGTAAAAGACATATAAAAGATAGAATTCAAGAATATCCGAGTACATTGTTATACCAAGTTTCAATAGTAAACTATACTATCTCGTTGGTCGTATGGACCTCACAATAATAGGCACGGTATACAAGACGGCAAACATCAACATGAAAGTGCGAGTCTGAGGTATTATTGAGACTTCATATTCAGTCACTTCAACTATCTCCTGCACACATACGAAACTCTTTGGGTCTCATTTCTTCTGCCTATTCTCACTACCGGATCTTGTTCCGGATCAAAGGGTCGGGATTGGTAGTTGGGTATTCATTATGAACATTCCGCTATGAACCGAGTTGCGAGTCGGATATCAACCACCAGGCCATTGTCGATTCAGCTAAGGACAATTCTCTGACTGTTAATGAATCTATTCCGGCATTAGTTTTCGCTCAAGCATGGAACAAGTCATATGATGCCTTGGAAATTCGGTATATCCTTCGCCTAAATTACCCATCTGGTTAGCCAAGCATCCCCGCATAATCAAAGGACCAATCGCCTCTCGTCGTCGCATCGGCTCGCGTGTCGGATGCTTCTCCAAACAAAATCTCCACTGACTTATGATGAACTACTACAACCCCTGTCTCATGCGAAGGAAAAGAGAAAACATGGTTGGAATGACCTCACCCTCGTCTTCTCCACACCCATCCCCGGATTATTCTTCTGCTTTCCCCACGCCCCCCGGATTGACGATGGGATAAGCTATATATCCGAGGGGGCCTTCCTGCGGGGGATGAAGGATTTACATGCAACACAGCAGTTCTTGGACTTCCATCTTCATTCATAAGGCTCATTTATCAGAAGATAAACATTTGACAACATGGGTGGCTTTCGCGCTGTGGAAGATAGGCCTACGCCAAAGGAGGTGTACAATTGGCGACTGTACACTGAGGCCGCTGTCATTGCTACAGGATCACTGCTGTAAGTCATCTCACTGAGACGACAAGTTTGAGTATTGACAGTTACAGGTTCGGTTATGACTCTGCTTTTATCGGTACCACCATTGCTCGCAATAGCTTCAAGCGTGACTTTGGCATCAAGCCCGAGGACTCGGCTGATATCTCGAGTAACATCACTGCCACTTTCCAAGCTGGTGCTTTCTTCGGTGCCATCATTTGCTTTTTGAGTATGTTTTTAGAGTCCTGGGCTGGAGACCAATGCTGACAGATTTGAAGTTACTGAGAAGATTGGTCGCAAGTGGGCTCTTCAGGCCAACGTCGTTGTGTTCCTCATCGGTGCTATTCTCATGACTGCTGCTACTCACCAACTGTCTTATATCTGTAAGTCACTATCAACCCATCTCAATTTCTGTCTAACATCTTCAGACGCCGGCCGCGCTCTCACCGGTATCGCATGCGGTGCCATCACCGCCACAGTCCCCAGCTACATCGCCGAGCTTTCCATCGTCTCCATCCGTGGTATCCTAACCGGTCTCTTCGAAGTCACATACCAAACCGGTTCTCTGATCGGCTTCTGGATCAACTATGGCATCAACCAGAACATGAACCCCTCTTCCGCCGCTGCATGGCGAGTCCCCATGGCCGTTCAGATTGCCCCTGCTGCTATCCTCTTCATCGGCGGGTTCTTCCTGCATGAGAGTCCGTTGTGGTTGATGCGCAAGAATCGTGAGGAGGATGCTACCAAGGCGCTTGAGAGTCTGCGACAGATTCCCCGTGATCACAGGTGTAAGTTTTGTTGGCCCAGGATGAGAATTTGGTGCTAATATTGAGATAGATCTTCAAGAGGATCTTGATATGATTCGAAAGCGTCTTGCGGATGAAGCCTTCGTTGCTAGCAGGTTTGGTACTGGCCCTTGGGCTCTTTTTCGAGGTGCTGTATCTGAACTTACCCGCAAGGGAATGCGAAACCGTGTTCTGCTTGTTTTCTGCTCTTTTGCTCTGCAGAACATGTCTGGTGCTGCTGGTAAGTTAACCACCGCATTTCTACACAACAGTGCTGACGATTGCTAGCTATCAACTATTACTCACCCACTCTTTTCGGTTCTCTCGGTATTAGCGATGTTGCCCTATACACTGGTATCTATGGTCTTGTCAAGGGTATGTTTCACAATCCACCGATGCTGAACTTTCACTGACTCTTGGTAGCTGTTGCATCTATCATCTTCTACGGCGCTCTCATCGACATGTGGGGACGACGTAACCCTACCATCATCTCGTCTGCCATGTGCTCTGTTTGTCTCTGGATCGTTGGAGCTTATGTCAAGATTGGACACCCCGCTACTATCATTGCTGAGGGCAAGGACCTGTCTCCTTCGACTGCCGCTGGTGGTAAGGCTGCTACTGCCATGATCATGATCTACTCTGTCTTGTAAGTTCTCCCATTTAATGTGATGAATCCAGCATTCTGACTTTTATAGCTGGTCCTTTGGTCTCAACGGTATCCCCTGGATTGTCTCGGCCGAGATCTTCCCTGGTGCCCTTCGAACCCTGACAGGCACATACGCAGCCTGTGTTCAATGGTAGGACACCTTCACATCTCTCTTACACAACAATGACTAACAACTACAGGCTCACTCAATTCGCCATCACCAAGGCTCTTCCCTACATTTTCAAGTCCTTCGGCTACGGAACATGGTTCTTTTTCGCATGCTGGATGATCACCGCCACCGTCTGGGCCTTCTTCTTCCTCCCCGAGACAAAGGGCAAGACTCTCGAAGAGATGGACGTGATGTTTGGCTACGTTCACGACCGCGCTCCAAGCGAGCAGGACGATATGGTCAAGGCCGGTGCCAGGTCTTCTGTGACTGAGCATAAGGAGGAAAATGTTTAAACAGTGGTTTACCTAAGCATATACACTCTGCTCGAAATCTAAACCAGAGGGACATCTCCCCCATTGGCAATAAATCCACAAGGGCCGTTACTAATTGTCGTTCCCCTCCTGGCATCCGGTGAAGTAATGAATGATGAATTGAAGTTGTCCCTAGGATTGCAGGATGTTGCAATGACCAATTCACAGTTGCTAGGGAAGTTGGACCAGATGCAGTTTCGGGTTTGATGGCATGCTACACAGCATTCGTAAGCATTCCGTGCTGGAATTCCCACTTGGATCTGATTTTGTGAACCGCCGTAGTTGACGTTCCAGATGAAATGTCCGCCGTTCGCTGAGTTGATGAGGTTATTCGCTTGACATGCAGCATATGTTGTTGCAGTAGCGAGAGTTGTGGTCGCAAAGAATGTCGTATTCCAATCGATAGGCCTCGTGGTCCAAGTCCAAGTCGAGGTAGTCGTCGAAGTAATGACATTTTCCACGGTTGCCATCACAGTCGTACTCTCAGTCCGCGTACTAGTAACGGTAGCAGTAACAGTTGTAGTGGCAGTGTTCACAGTTACGTTCTGGGTCACAGTTACAGTAGGTAGTGGCAGAGGACATCTGGCCCGTGTAACGGTTTGGGCGGTCAAAGTGAAGATGGTAGTGTTGCAGACAACAGCTAGTATATCTGGCCAGCATCTCTTTTCCAGGGCCGGTTTAGCCGTCGGTACCAACTCGTCATCGCCACGTCTGTGACGGCGTCGAGCGACGTAGCCTGATTCAGAAGCGATGGGGACGAAGCCTGACGTAGCAGGGATAGTAGATGTGCGTCGAATGGTAGCTGTTAGTGTCATGGTACTTGTTGACGTGACAGTAGTAGTAGCTTCTTCCGTGTCGGTGGTGGTGACTACACAGGTCAGAATCATAGTCCTCTTTCGGGGGGGTTTTGGCTCACCATTGGTCGTGACAGTAGACGTCGTGGTGACACGCAGAGCAGAGACCACAGTTGAGTTGACAGTCTGAGTTCCGGTTGTGGTCGAGGTGCTATTGAAGACAACGACTGTCGCTGTAGGACAGACGGTTGCGATGTGGGTCAGTGTTCGTTGAATGGTGTTCGATATCGTAGTAGGAGGTGTAAGTGAACCTGTTGGAAAGGGGCCGCATCCTCGTTGAGTCACACACGTTCCTGTAGTGAATACATTTTGGGCAATGGCTGCACCTATCAGGGTGTAAATTGGTAGCAAGAGGTGCATCGCGATATCTTATTCTGTCCAGGCTAGGATAATTGTGTTTTCAAGAGACAGGAAGAAAGTGGGTGGCCTAAGAATGTTATAAGGACAGTTCCTTCAATATTATTCTGTCCTCGATTCATCGTGTCATCTCATGTCTTGGAGTCATATAGAGAAGTGATGATGCATAAATGTTCATGATGGCGCCTTGATTTGCAAAATGAAGCTTGAGGCTTCGGTGACAAAGCCAATCACTATACAAACTATCGTCCACCTCACAGCATAAGGTAGTCTTTCTTTTGATCGAAGCTATACATACAAATATAATCAGCTTGTGAGACCTCCGGCTTAGGTAAGTTTTACAAACCTTTGAGAAGGTTAAGCATAATATGTGATAGAATTGTCAGTTCGAAAGAACTATATCTGTCTTACAGTTGTAGTCGCGGCCGCAATGTGGAACGCCACTTCTGCATATGCAAGCCATATATGTCTCTAAAAGCGTTATAATTGGAATTTCAACTGTTTTTGGGTAATTTACACTTTGCGGCATGAAAGGTTACTGGCGCAGAAAAAGAGCAGCCAACAGCTTACAGTTCGGAACGACAGAGCCTTGCGGGATGATACATCTCGAGCATCGCCAGCAGCAACAGCACAATGAACCTATGACTTCATTCAATGGACGAAACGGCACCTTCTTTGTTGCGACGGCGTTGCCGTACCTATTTTCGGTATCTTCAACCTCACTGAGGCATCGGTAAACGGTTGGAACCCCTGCCAAGAGAACAAAGAACAAAGAAGCGGCTCATTGCTGAAACAGGGATCTGAATTCTTACAATTCAAGCTATTAGTTAGCTGTTTGTTTCATGTTTCGGTAACACTCTAAAGAAAGAAACTGTAGCTTTGTTGAAGGTAAGGGCATTGAGGAACATATGAACAGGAGCATTCATATATAGATAACAGCCACCTCTACAATCTTGTTCAAGAAGCAAATACTAAAAGAACTGCTTGTTTCTAATCTCAATACAATTTCTCAAGCACAATGTCTCGCGATATGGAGCGATCTACGTACAACTATACCTCAGTTCCGCAGTACCACACAATGCAGACTGTAAACCCAACTTCGTTAACTCAACAACCGTCCTACGTTCCCTCATACACTGACAGACCATCAAACCCTATTACCGCATCCACTTATAGTGGACAAGCTCAAAACAACACAATTTCGCCATCGCCATACTCAACTATGGGACGACAAGAAACCTGGATGGGAAGCGTGGGCTTCACGGATCGCTTCACTAGAGACAGTATGGGTTACGGACGAGCAACAACAGACGCGAATTTGACTTATGAGTCTGAACCTTTGGAACCTCTTTTTGGCATGGCGCAGCCTTTGCCGCGATTGCCGAGTCCCGATACTCAGCAACCCACTGCACGCTCAAGACATAGACGTGGAGACAAGAAGTGGTCTCGCAAGCAGTCACATTCGGGATACATTGAAGTGCCCAGGAGGGTTGTTCACAATGGGAAGGAAGATGCAGTCATGAAAACCATATATTACAACCGAAGCTATGGGGGTTATTGGCACAGTCGACCATAGGAAGCCGAGTATCGTTTCGAGAAGTTGTATTCATGACCAGCATATAGACAAAAGTGGCATAGATCTCATAGACACATAATTCATAAATCATCTCAGCGATTCGCAGTCTTCTCGTGTCCCTGTACCTCGACAAGGTTGACTTGGTGATCTCTCTGGGCTTCAACGAACGGCTGCTTCTTCCAATGCCGTGCAGGGATACCATCTCGGAAGAAGCCGTTTATCTCCTCCATACTTCGGCCCGTGACTTCACCAACGCAGAAGTATACGTAAGTCAGCGTGACGAAGCATAGACCTGTGTAGACGAAGCCTGTCTTGGGACCGAGGTTGGCGGAGTAGTAGAGGTATGGTAGGGTGAAGACGGTAGCCCAGACCGTGACCCAGAAAGAAGCGACTGCTACTGCGTAGATTTTGTTTCGGTTTCTCCCGACAGCCATTTCAGAAGCCTAAGTAGAGTGTGTTAGAGGAGTAACTACTTAGTGAAAGGGTGAAACACTTACGATAGTCCAGCCAAGAGGACCCCAAGCAAAATTGAAGGCCACAATCTCAATAATCACGAAACTGATAATAACCTTCCCAACAGTTTCGCTCGGAGTTCCGCCAGGGATACCCAAGCATCCAACCACAAAGATAGACATAGTCATGATCCCCGTGGTGATGAGCAACAGAGGTCGTCGCGGAATCTTGTTAGCCAGCAACACCGCCGCCAGAACGACAAAGACTTGAATTATGAATACAATAAGGGTCATTAGGAACGGGTCTTTGAGTCCAATTGCTTTGGAGAAGATGGTGCCGAAGTAGTAGAACCATTGGATTCCATTGATCTGCTGGGCGATCAGGGCGCCGGCGCTGTAGATCACTTTGCGACGTTCAATTGGGTCTGTAATTAGTTGAATCCACGCACTTTCAATTTCACTAGATCTTTCTTTTTCGAGATCTTCTTCGATATTCTGCATCTCGGGCTTAGCGTCGTAGTGCTTGTCTTGGTGGTGAAGTAAGCGGAGAGATCGCATCGCCTTGTCATGCCGTCCACGGCGGAGCAACCAGCGCGGCGACTCTGGAAGCCATGTAATTCCGAGAAACAGAATCAATGGGAAGATCAGTTGAAATCCAATGGTAAATCGGTACGCAAAGCTCGTGTCGTTGTGGATAACACTCCTGTTGATACCAGCAGCGATGATCTGTGAGACAGACAAAACGAGTTGCCAGCACATGAGAAGGGGGCTCCTCAAAGACTCCGGCGCTATTTCCTACAAGTGCATGATCAGTAAAGCCAATTTTACACATGATCAATCGGAGAATTTAAAAACTTACTCCCATGTACAAAGGCGAAGTTACCGAAAAGGTTCCCACCCCAAAGCCGGATACGGCTCTACCGGCGGTGATAAGGGCACGGCTCGAAGTCGTAGATAGCTGCATTACAACACCAACGACCACGGCAACGGAGCCGGTGAAGAGCGAGCCCTTTCGGCCGAATAGATCGTTCAACGGTGCTGCTAACAACGATCCCACTAACTCGCCCACATTGATCATGCTCGTCATGACAGCTAGATTCTGGGGTGAGATGTGGAATTCGCCATCATCGCCCCGCGTTCCAAAGTCGCGAACAAAGACATCTTCCTGGTCAGCTAGCTATACGAGGATCCTTTCTACACTCTGGGAAGAGACATACCAAGAGTCGAAACTCCGGTAAAGTAGACGCCTTCGTAACCGTACAGACAAGCTCCGAGGGCAGCGAAGCCGCAGCACAGCCAGACGTAGGGATACTTGACGACGAAGCTCTTCGGCATGTTTCTTTTTTCTCCGCGGGGCGGACGGACGGCCGCGCGTTAACTTAGGTCAAGTTTACAGGGCTGAAAGGGAGGGAGTGAGGTTTGACACTTTGACCCTTTCGCTTCTCTTCAGCGGTTAACGGCTTCTGGGTCTAGCTCTGTTTTGGAATAAGATAGAGGTTATCGGTGATACCGTGCAAGTGGATACTATGATATTAAAAACAGTCGATGGATGGATCATGGGAAGTTGATTCAGCTGCGAGTTCAAGTTAACGTTACAGCAGTGACAAGGCTCAAGATACAGGGCCAAGGCTCAGCGTGCGGAGGAGTAATATCACGAGTTGCTCAGCCAGTCACTCACTCACTCACTCACTCACTCAGTAACTTCCCATCTTTCAAGCCCCCTTTTTTCTGTCTAACACTCCCATTGCTTCTGGAACCTTGCTCCGAGCTCGCTTAGAAGAAGCTCTCCCTCCAAGGCTCTCTTGGCTCTCTCCCACGATTGATTGATTGGGCTGAGATAGAAACCCAAGCTAAGCCGCCAAAAGTTAGGATCATCGAAATAAACTTTGAACCGAGTCATGAAGCTTTACCTGTTGAGGAAGCGCCGCGCCATCTTGAATTCTTGATGCCGGGGCTTTTCTCTAAAGGGACCATTTGGGAAACGTGGGTGCGAAAAAAACAGGAGCACGGTTGCATTCTGTGATTATCATTCTTTTTTTAAACCAAGACAAGAGCGAGGTTCATTCCACTTGACTCTCTTTTTTCCCACTTCCCACTCCAAGACAGACGCCTTGACCATCAGGTTCCGTCGATGGAGTCTGTCTTGAAGCTTCGACCATTCGGCTACTGTAGTGCATGTAGGTAGAGCTATCACTCCCCAAGACAAGGCAAGGCAAGGTATCATTGATTGGATTGAGAACGCCAAGAAAGGTTGTCTCCGAAATGGATATAATTAGACGTTGCTTCACTTTATTTCGTTCACAATCAACTAACAGACAGCTCCAACCTGGATAACCACCTCTATCAACACGACCACCAAATACTGTACCACACAGTAACAACACCACGACTATGCGATCAATACTCCCTGTCCCAACTCCTCCACCCGAATCATGTATCTACTCTCGCGAATCACACTACCAAGCTTCCGCCGATGTCATTCCCCTCCTCATTGACGATACATACCACGTCTTTCACCTCAACACCCCGCCAGCCACAAAGCACCACCCAGAGCGTCTAAGAGCAACATGGTCGCGACTCCGTTCAACAAATCTTATCGAGTGGGAGCGTGACCCAGAGCCTGTCTTGTCGCCTGGGGAATCTAGCTCTGATCCAGATGCTGATGGTGCTTGGACGGGATGTGCAGTGCTTGATCTAGATCAGTACATGAACCTCTTTTACACGGGGTATAGCCTGTCGCAAAATGGTCGACAGACAATACTTCGTGCCAAAGCAAAAGATCTTCATGGTACGAGGTTTGAGAAAGATGCAACACCAGTCACAATTCATCCTGAAGGACTCGATAAGTATGAGGACATTGACTTTCGAGACCCCTTTGTCTTTTATAACCGTGCCGAAGGTCGATATTGGATGCTTGTAGCTACTCGACTAGCCAATGGCCCATATTGGAGTCGCGGATGCATCGCACTGTTAACATCCCCGGATCTCGAAGCCTGGACCGTTGCGCCAGAACCTCTATACGCTCCCAACGACGTCTTCTGCCCCGAATGTCCAGAGATCTTCACATTGCCCAACGGAAAGTGGTACCTTGTGTACTCGCGCTTCCACGCCCCGAATGCAGGAACAGTATATCGCATCGCTGACACACCATACGGGCCATTCCGCGTGCCAAGAGATGGATCTCATGGCCGACTCGACGGACGCCGTTGGTACGCAGCCAAGTCATGCCCTAAGGCGGGAGATCCCGATAAGAGAATCAGCTTTGGCTGGATTGGAGACTACGCGGACGATGAGAAGAAGTGGCTCTGGGGAGGTGATCTTGGTGTCACTAGAGTTATGTGGGCAGACACGAACGCCTGTCTGCGCATTGATGCTTCTCAAGAGTTTAGGAGCTACATATGGCGATGCTCGAAGCCTGTGTCGCCTAGCAATGCTGCTCCGAGCTTGTATCTCTGCTCCCTCGGCACAACAGCGACTCATTTCCCTGAGTTGGGCTCTGCGGAGTGGAAGAAGGATCTCATGGTAGACTTCAAAGTCGCAGCTTGTGATGCGCACACTTTTGGCGTCATGCTTCAGACCGACAGTTCAGGTAAAGGCCATCGGCTCCAGTTTAACCCGCAAGGAAACGGCTTCTTCTCCGTCGCCCTCATCACCGACTTTCCACCCCTCGACGACTTCTGGGCAGACCAGTACCGCATTTACATCCCCCGACCTGTCGACGGTCCCGAGTTAGTACGACACGATAACGTCAGTCTCGTCGATGGAGTCTTCCTCTTCTTGAGGGGTCAGCTCGTCGAGGTCTTCTGCGGTGGACGAGCGCTGAGCTTCCGACTACCTATACCGCCCAACTGGGCAAGCGGCGAGCGAGACGGGGTTCGCAGATTGGGATGGTTTGTGGAAGATGGTATGGTTGATTTAGTTGATATTAATATGAGGCATTCCATGGGTCGCAAGGACAGCTCGGCTGAGTCTGACAATGGCCTCGAAGATGCCGACTAATTTCTTCTATTAACCTCTCCGCCGCATTCCTTCTCATTCACGGCCCCTTCATCCAAGATCTCTCTGCGGCATCATAGGATTTGGTTGAATGACCAAGCCGCTGAGGAGATCATACGGCCCTGACGCGCCCGCGGCGAGATCCCAGTCGCCAAAATCAGTATATTCATAAACATCAGCACCATAATTGCCCATCATTGGGCTAACTTTATCATTAAGCGGCTCGTTCAGATTAACCGCGAGAGAATGCTCCAGGCCACGCAATATAGCCCCCTCCAGTCGATTCACGGCATATTGCATCGGCTGATGACTTTTGCTCATCATGCGAAGGTTCCAAAGATACGAGTTTAGGGTCTCCTGCCAGAAATGTCGCTCATGCGATGATAGCGAAGTGACTAGAAGTAATGTGGTGAAGGAGCCGAGGAGCGAGAAGAGGTAGGGTGACGTGAAGTACCAGAACGCCTCGAGATGATCAGGTCGCAAGCTGATGACAAAGGATATGGCGCTCTGAGCTGTCTGAAGCGCAATCTGTCGAATGCTGGAGAGGACTCG